GCGAAGTAAAACCGGTGGAGAACTATAACTGAATCCCGAAAATATGTTGATGGAAAAGCCCGCATATAAGTGGCCCTGAATTAGCTGACAGAAAGCTAAGCTGTGCGATATTGTTTTAAAACTTTCAGTGTTCGGAGAGATAGATATGAAATCTTGTAACCTCTGGGAAGACTACCTCGAATAATCGACTGTAATTTGACCGCAGCAGCTTCAAGCTTCTCTTTAGGGTGGCCTGACTTTCTGCACACACGACCCAGTCGTCAGCGAAAGCAAAATCTACTAAATTGTCATAGATCTCGTAGTCTAGTTGAGTCAATAACAATTCAAGAACCTCATCCATCGCCATGATATTCAATAATTCGGAGAATGGATCCCCCTGTATCATACATCTGTGGCAGTGAACCTCAGGATTGGGTAAACCTGCCACAGAATTCTCACATGACTGTGCGATGTTTCGAACTGGAGGTGACGGTGTACCAACCGTTTGACAATTGTGTCATGCAAAACCGAATCAAGCGTTTTTGAGATATCAGCAGGCGCAAAACTGAGGTTATGAGCACTCACTGGAGATTGACAAAGTAGGACGTATAACCGCGATGCAGCTTTCAAACAACCGTCTCGATATAAGGATGCAAACTGGAATGAGGAACTTTGCANAGACTGCAAGAGCATATCAATATTAGGTAAGGAATGTGGGATGAAAACAGGTTACTACTGAAAAGAAGGCGGTGTAAAGGATCAGGATTAATTTTCACAAAGGCACCAACCGTAAGTTGCTCAGAAGGAATTTTCAGCACTACTTGCTTTTACTTGGTATGAATCCATATCGGAAATATGCATTCTGTATACCCATCAATAAGGGTCCACTACAAGACGCAGTGGGAAAAGTGCATATAAAACTTTGTTTCTCAGAGGCCAGCCCCAACCATGCTCTTCGCACGTTCCCAACATCATGTGCTATTTTGAACGGTCTGTCGAATGCATTTTGTCGTTTAGTGGCATTTTCTTCCGCAAAGGTTAAAAATGCTCGCTAAATTTCCTCTGTGAAAAAGTTAAAAGATCTTGTGATGCCTTATCACACAGTAAATTCAAATAGGTCAAGAAGCCCCCGAGTTACTCAAGGTAACTGAAGGTAAGGCATGAAGGACACAAAAGTTATCTTCAGGTGCGCGTTTTGAAAAACTGGTAGTTCCGATAAGAGAAGCCAACTAAACGAAAGCCAGACTCTTTATTTCATATCAACGAGTTCCAATTCAGTGAACGAAAGTGAAGACGTATTATTTCGCGAAGAATGATTGTACTTTACGGCACTTAATAATTCTCAAGATGCGGTTTATGCATCGAAATCCTTCACGTATGGTCTTCGAGATTGTTCTCCAGGGTACTCACTTATTTTCTCAAAATTTCCGATTAGAGAGACTATTCATCCCCCATTTGAAACACCGTCCTCTACAATGAGGACTGTTTAGAAGACACAAGTTCTGTTTCACTGTGACAGAAACTTCTTCAAGAAAAGACCAAGAACTAAGAGAGGCCATATTTTATAATATATGGACAAGCGAAGTAAAACCGGTGGAGAACTATAACTGAATCCCGAAAATATGTTGATGGAAAAGCCCGCATATAAGCCCTGAATTAACTGACAGAGAGCTAAGCTGTGCGATACTGTTTTAAAACTTTCAGTGTTTGAAGAGATAGATATGAAATCTTGTATCCTCTGGGAAGACTACCTCGATTGATTCACTGTAATTTGACCGCAGCAGCTCCAAACTTCTCTTTAGGGTGGCCTGACTTTCTGCACACACAACCCAGTCGTCAGCGAAAGCAAAATCTACCAAATTGTCATAGATCTGGTAGTCTAGTTGAGTCAATAACAATTCAAGAACCTCATCCATCGCCATGATAGTCAATAATTCGGAGAGTGGATCCCCCTGTCTCATACCTCTGTGGCAGTGAACCTCAGGATTGGGCAAAACTGCCACAGAATTCTCACATGACTGTGCGATGTTTCGAACTGGAGGTGACGGTGTACCAACCGCCTCGGAAAGTTTGACAGTTGTGTCATGCAAAACCGAATCAAACGTTTTTGAGATATCAGCAAGCGCCAAACTGAGGTTATGAGCACTCACTGGAGAGTGACAAAGCAGGACGCATAACCGCGACGCAGCTTTCAAACAACTGTCTCGATATAGGGATGCAAACTGGAATGAGGAACTTTGCAATCCACGGATCCAGCGATCAAGAAGCTCTTTATGAAAACGTCGGACAAGAACTCGTGGCCCGGAAGAACGGTCTCATCTGGTCCGCTGAAGTCGGATTCGGGACCGGCGTAAAAAGGGTAGTACAAACATGGCACAAGTGTGGCGGACAGCCGCCAGATAACAATAGTATGTTGAACTACCCAGTAGGCGTGTGGACACTGAACCGGTGATGCATCCTGGGTGTGAGCTCGTCCGGACTTGGGACAAAATGCTCTTTAAATCGATCAGATGACCGGGTTCGTCACCTGCAACTGACTCGATCAAACTGCAATCGGATGGTAGAACTGCGCGACTTGGCTGGCTACCCACGTGCTTTGGAGCAGAGATCATCTGCTCCCAATGCTGCTCAACGTCCATAGGTAGGCCGCAGTTACGTGTAATGGGCCCTTCAACGATCCATCGAGCACAGCAGACATTGTATCACTTGGTCTTTGGTGGCATAGGGTCTGGATGGCGGTGTAGTTAGCTTGGCGGATCCGCTTTCAGTTTGCCCGCACCCGATGGGCTGGCTGACGACGGCGTCTGGATACAGTTTTCCAGGTGAGTGGAAATGCCTTGGAGGCGTGAAGGTCCAGAAGTGACTAACCATAATGCCAGACAGCAACCCCAGGTTAGATACCAGAAGGCCAACACTAGCAAGTAAACTGTCAGCATGGCACTGGAAGATTCACACGGTGCAGTCCACGGTTTGCCTGAATAAGGGGCTATTATCACCAGCCTCTGACGAGGAGACCGATGTTTGATCGTCGTGTTGTACTTGTCAGTTAAGCATTCGTAACCTGGTTTTGATGCTGATAACCGATTGACCGAGAAATTACTAATCCTGTCTCCAGAACTGCATGGTTTACGTGTCATGACGCGGATATAATTTGTGGGCTAGGCGCAAGGGTATTTGTAAATTTCGTTGGGGCCAACGGACAACGAAATTCTCCACTCAGACAACATTATGTTCGTAATGCCTAGTAGGCTGTGCTTGCCGGCGGTATTGATTCAAGCCAGTCTTCGTCGAAAAAAGACGGGAAGTAAACGGTGCCAACCAACTGCACAACCATGTTCCCGCCAAAACTTTCATGGACGTGAACTTGACATATTCTAGCAAACCAGCTTTCGATCTGAAACATTTGCCGCATTTCCCACACGTGTTCCTCACGTATCTTTCTAGTTACTGGTTGGAAGCGGTGCGGAGGCGCCAGGTGATTCGTTTTGTACATTGTCGAAAGTAACTGGTACATTGAAGCCAAACAAGGTCGTTAGCCCGTCTGGTGCTGCTGCAGTCGTAGTTCACTCAGACTGAAGTTCGCGCTACACAGTCGGCATCATGATGAGTTGGTTCAGCGCACAGACTTAATTATAATATTCTACTTTGTTCAGGCACCAGCCTGGCGAAATATGACGTGATTCTAGGGTTCGCAATCATAGAGGATGGAGTTGCCTGGATAAAAAACGACGTAAGTATCCACCTATGGGTGATTCTCTGGAGCAAATCCACTCGGGACATAAAATTCACAGAAATAAATCGTGCATCAAATAACTAGGTACGAGGTGTGATAAAAATTTCGCAGCGTTTTAATCCTCAGTGCCGATCAGTCAGGCTGAGACGACGATGCAATAAACCGGACAGCGACGCACGTACATCCCACATTTTTGGCACACGGCTTGGTCGCTTCTGGCGATAGGAATAATCAACAGTTCAGGAGACTGTCCAAAAACTGGGTCATTTTATATTGATTAATCCATCATACATTCCCTTATCAGAAAAACGTTACAGGACAATTACCCCCTTCGTTTTAGTTTTTAGTCAGTGTGAAATTTAATTAGTACTTGCACGTGTTGAAGCAGCTGTGTTTCACAATTGGTGGTGTAACCTTATTACATTTGTGGTATCTCTATTACTCAATCCAAGTATTTCTATGCAACTGCCTGTTTCTGTTTCCAAATTAGGTGACTTTCAATGGTCAGGTATTTCCAAGTATTTCTATGCAACTGCATGTTTCTATTTCCAAATTAGGTGACTTTCAATGGTCAGTACATCTTAGGAAAATTAGTTACTTCCGTTATCATATTTTGGTGCACAATGGCCATCTCACGTTGGCCCCATGGATTAAAAAGTTCTCCATCTAAGCGAACAAATTTTCCTGGTCTCACAGAATTACGATAGGATTGATGAAAGGCATTTCATCCTACTCATCCCATAATAAGCGGCTCTACTACCCATACTCGTGATCGTCTTTCATGAGAAGTGACTAGAGCAAACTCTTGTTGGCATGACCGCCATTGGTGTTTAGCATAAAGAACTTGGAACTGAAGGGCCCTCAGGACGGAGACATGGCTAATAAAATATGAGAAGTACGTTTTCATTCACTAAACGACGGGGATCACTAAAATGATTATATGTTCATTCTTTTGCAATCCATATGGATATCCAAGGACTTTAGACGATTGTGCACAGTAGAAATCGTGCAGTTTTGTTGGAGGACGTCATCCGACATCGGTAAACGGATTCGAAGCTCATAGCTGTTATCACTGTTAAGGGTACATTATCCCCCGAGATGAATAGTCACATTGTTTCTAAAGTTCTCTTCCCCAAGTATTCACTTACGGATGATGCTTACTCAGTCTGTAAACTATGACATCAAAATGGCAAAAACAAAGTATTTTGCCACCCCAAATCCTTCTCAAATCTTTACAGCCAGTCCTGACTAATGTTACTCTGACATGAACGCCGCATTCAACCCGACCGTCGGAAGTGTTGTCTTTAAAACAGCCGTAAATTTTAGCGTAGAAATAGCAAGAAGTTTGTCAAACAGGGGTAGCTCCATTTATCTCCAAGCAGCGATTTCATGATTCATCGGCGTGTACAGATTCCTCCTCTTGTTAAATTTGGTGCCATCACAAGAACGTGACAGTTGTTGGGTTTTAAAACTGGCTTGCGAAGGGACTTGCAATGCATCCTGAATAGTGCGTGTAGCGGATGGCAAATTGCAAGAGAACTCAGAAACTATCCAACTATTCGATTTTTTAATAAAACGTCTTCCTTGTTCATTGTACGGGCATTATATTCCAACCGAACTCACATAGAAAAATGAATAATGGAATCATTGTGCACTTGTTGCAGCTTTCTTACGAAATCGGACATTCGAGTCAAGCTACATTCCGCAGTTGCATGAAACTAGTGATTCGGATAGGTGGCTGTCGTAAAAACGAGGTATTCTGAATAACAGCTTCGGCTTTATTGTGGAAGGGCAATTAGTGTACATAACGTATCGTGACTGCACGGTGTGATGAACGATTTCCCCATTTATTAACAGGTGTAATTATAATTCACCGATGATTTTTGTTTACTCTGATAAGTACGCCATCTGGGTAGTAAATATTTATCTTACTGATTGCGGCTACCAGCTGTGAATTTGTCTCCGAATGATATTCAAAACCCGACCATTGATGAAATTAATGAAGAGGATGTGTTTCCCCTTAATCTTGAGCAACGGTACTATCTGGCTGAGCCGCTTTAAGTTAAGAGGCTATGTCATTGTGTGCTCGAACAAACCACAACTGTGACAACTTGACAGCACTGCCATTAAATAAATTTGTATTTTTGAAAAAGGCGATTACCGCTGATGTCGCCAGCGGGAGAGCCCTGATTTCTTTGAGAAGTCTCCTTAAAAGGCGTAGAATTTTTCCATAATTTCCAGTGGTGTCAGAAATAGCTTTTTTCTTTGGTCACCACCTGATACATTTTCAGCCTCTCTAGAGGTTCCCGATACGGGACTTTGAATCATGCGTAGGTTCAAAGATTCCGAATATCTAAGGGAAGAATCGGGTTTGAAATTCTATGGTAGTTTTTACTCAAAAGTGAATGGAATTAGGAATGAAACCTTCAGTATCCCGCATCATGGAATCAACAAATGCACGTCTTTCGCTGACCAGAAAAATGCAGTGCCGAGTTCCGCACACCAGGGAACGGTGAGCAAAATATTTGCTCCATGGAGTGCGTTGTGGTCATCCCTTCAAAGGCCAGTCTTTTGATTCTGATTGGTGGTGCGCTCACACGGAAATCACGACGGAACAAATCAGCAGTTAGGACACGAGCACGCATGGATAAGTAGGCTGCCCACATTCACACATGCACACACACACACACGTGCTACTATGTTAGTGTCAGAAGGCACTTTTATGGCAAGGTGGATGGCGTACACGGATGAGCAAAGCAATTAGAGATCAAAAGATCCACAGAATGGATCACGTGCTTTCAGCCAGCCTTAAGTGAAATCTACGAGTAGAATGTTCTGCCAAGATACGATCACATTTATTCAAAACGTGGCACTCTACAGCCGAATTACTTTAAGCTAACAAACTGCTACTATATTTGGTCCATTGTCACCCTGGTCACTTGGGTCTTCTCCTGCGAAAAGCCGGAGATGGGGTAACTTTCTGGACCAGTACCTTCGGTTGACAAGTGTTGTTTGCTCTTCTCTAATAGACGAACAAAATGTTCACAATCTGAATTCTTATTCTTGTTTTATGTTCGACAGGAAACGGTAAAATTTGAGTTTCTCGCATTCTTTACTTCTAAAAACGCACTTTTAGGAGATTGATTTATGGCCACTCATCATCAAGGAACAGAGTCAAATCTGGTTTTTTTTATAGCTGGCAGCCAACCATTTCTAGTATCACTTTTGAATCACCGAGTTTGTAGGTGTTCTCCCACTTGAAAAGCACATGACTTTCGGGAAATAAATGGTACATACAACTCAGGTTGCCAAAAATATTGACTTTTCTTTATATTTACCCAACCTGACTGTGGTATATGTAAAGGGAAAGCGAATCGATGTCCTGCTTGTGTTTGCTTCAAACTACGTTCACGCTAACCCTGAAATGAACCAGGCGATTTGCTTTGTTTTCTTTAGTTTGGATGAGAAGAAACCTTATGCAACATTATTCTTTGGTTCCTTTCAATCCGTATCTATTCAATACCGCCACTAAACTATGGATAGACTTTCCGTCTTCGGGTGCCGGCCAACACTTGTGTTGATTTTTTTGTTTGTTTGATTGCCTCGATAACTCGCAAGGCATGAATGCGAAGGTCATCTCTCTAAAATCAGCCTGAAGCAAATATGCTAGCAACAGTGAGTTTATGCGGCGGCGCGTCATATTGTGTTGAGCGCGCTGATAAATTTTGTCTTGCAATGACTGCCACTATTCAGTGACGAATACCTTTTTTGTTCTTCGCTTGCGACCACTGAAGTGATTTCTGGCCCTTACTCTTCCATACCAATTGTCGTTCAGTGGAGGTTGCAGCATTGATTTCATCCTTTCAGGCCCAGTGATTTTCAACGGCCGAACTGCCAATCTCAGTTGCGGACCGGCGTCCAAGAACTTGTCTCTACACAAGTAGCCTTAGTACTGCTCAAGAACAACCAAACTAATATTCCATTATTCATATCCAAATTCCAGAAAATCATCTCTCGTTCTAACTGGAAGTCGGAAAGATGTTTTATGAAGAAACTCTGAGGCTCAACATCTCTGTTGATGGTTCCCTGGAGATTTGATAACACGTAAAGCTATATTAGTTGACAATCCGACTCATCCCCAGCTGGTTATTTAATCCCAAAAAGATGACACTTTAGGACAGGGCAAAGATCAAAAATGCAAATAATTGAAAGGGTTGACGGCTGAGCTAAACAGTTGCAAGATTTCTAAGATAGGGTTGTAAGTCTAACATCACTCAAAGCCTACGGAATTCGCATGACGGAGAACTCATAACCAAGATATACTTTCGTCATTCATGATCAAGCGTGCAGAGACTTTCAAGTTTAATGATTTCGTACTAAAGTGTGCTTATCGGTTCCGAAATTCTCCTAGTTATTATTAGAGCATATGCGGTAAAAGCCAACTTTAGACCGCCAAATTTACGCATTGTTTGCATTCAATGCAAGAATGAGTAACCTATATGCGATTTGGATCGGTGTGTTAAAGCAGATTTTTTATTAATGTTGGTCTTGTGGTGAAATTTTGCAGACTGCTTCCATCCATATTTTGGAGGCATAGCATAAGGCAATCGGAGATAGATTACTTCTAATTATCGAGTTGACAAACAAATCCTAAATTATCGGGAAAGGATTATGCAAAGAATGGCTATCAGGTGAATGACCGTTGAATGATGACAGGCATAAAATCGCCTTTCCTTATGACTGTATTTGCCTTGCTCGTTAGTACTTTAACCTGTGCACAATACCTATTCCGCAGGTATGAACTTGCCAGGCGATCTATTACACTGGAACCACACTTTCCTATCCAGAAACTAACAATCCCGTTGCCAAATATTATCTGAACATGGAGAAAACTCATGCGGTCTAAGGATATATAGTTTTATTTCTAGCGAATTCCAGTGGCCAAAACGGGAGCAATCTTTGCACTGTTTTCATAAGAGGATAATGCAAGGAATGCA